ATATATAGTATATATTATATATATATATCTATATATAAATTGTATATATATATTATGTATATATATATTATATGTATCATATATATATATATATATAATATATATATATATATATACTATTATATATATATAGTGTATGTGTGTGTGTGTGTGTGTGTGGTGTTTGTGTGTGTGTGTGGTGTGTTGTGTGATGGTGTGTGTTGTGTGTTGTATATATATAATATATCTAATATATATATATAGTATATATAGTATATATGCATATATATATATATATATATATATTATATATATATAATATATATATATATATATATAATAAGAAGAGAGAGAGAGAGAGAGAGAGAGAGAGAGAGAGAGAGAGAGAAATATAGATATATTTCTCTCTCTCTATATTTCTATATTTCTCTCTCTCTCTTCTCTCTCTCTCTCTCTCTCTCTCTCTATATATATATATATATATATATATATATATATATATATTATACTATTATAATATATATAATATAGAGAGAGAAGAGAGAGAGAGAGGAGAGAGAGAGAGAGAAGAGAGAGAAGAGAGAGAGAGAGAGAGAGAAATATAGAATATAGATATATAGATATATAGATATGCATATATATATCATATATATATGCATATACATATACAATAGAACGAATATATATATATATATATAATATATATATGATATATATATATATTATATATATATATATATATATATATATATATATAATATATATATATATAATATATATATATATATATATGCATATGTATATGCACACGCCTATATAAGCACACACATGCTGTCGCAGCTGCTTTACAAACCGACCCAGAATCACCTCGAAAAGCTTCACCGTCATAGTGTTTAGAAATGTGTGTTACATGACCCTTTGGTGTCGCCGTCCTGTGGTTCCCAACCCATTCTGAGAGACACGGAAAGCCAGATCTGTCTGTCTGCCTCTGTCTTTTTGTCTGTCTGTCTGTTTGTCTTTTTCTTTGATAAGACCTTGATTTGGTTTCCTGGTCTCAATTATTTTTTGTTTGTTTTGTGTGTGTTATGGTGTGTGTTGTTGCTTGTTTCCCTTTACCCTTAGTTGTGTGTGTGTTTTGTCGTACCGATGATAGTGATGGAAATAATCGAGAAAAAGGTCATGAATCTGATGATGATGATGATGATGACGCATGGGATTATGGATAATGATATGTATATTGACGATCATAATATTGGTGATAATGTTAATGACGATGATAAAGATGATGGAAACGATAAAGATAATGATAATGAATATGAGGATGAATGATATATTGATAATGATGATGATAATGTTGAGGATGATGTTGATGACGAAGCTCATATAAATCCCTCATTGCAACGAGACACAGCAATGTTAGCGCAACCTGGTACCTTTAAATTAGATGCAAATATTATGAAAATGACTCTAGGAAATGCTAATAGCTACGCCAGAGGGAGTAATGATATCAGCTGTAATTATACAGGGATAAATGATGGAAGTGATAATGAGATTCGTGATCATAATGAATGACTGATACAAACACTAGAAAATAAAGCCAATTATGATAATGACATTGGTTGAACAGATTTAGGAAGATAATGATATCAGTGACAATGGGCATAACAAGTGATAATGATGATAATAGTTTTGCTGATGATAGTATAATGATATGATAATTTGTAACGATAGTGATGATATTATTGATGCTGGTAATGATAGCGATAACAATAGTTATGTTGATAATGATATTGGTAAAAGTGATGGGATTAATTAGACAGATAATGATAGTAAAATCAGAGTGATATTAATGATGATAGTAATAGCAGTAATAACAATGAAGATAATGATGATAATAATAATGATGATGATGAAAAAATATGATATTGAGATAAATGATAATAATAATGATAAGAAAAACAAATAGGAGGAAGAAGTGGAGAAGAACAGTAATAACAGCAATAAGAACAGCATTAGGTTATCAAAGTGCCATCATCTTATTGATTAAAATATCAACAAATTTAATAAAAGATTATCATCGTCATCATCAGAAGACGTTTGTTTGTTTGTTTGTTTACTTTCTTATTTTATTTGTTATTTTTATCTTAACAATCCCTTGCTTTCTTTCTCTCTTTCTTATTCTTTCGTTTTATCCTGAAGTTTCGTTCAACTTAACGAAATACGTGGAAAATTATTATTACTGTTTACATGTTGTTTGTGTTTCGATGGTTAGACGTACGTTTTACTGTTTACATGTTTACGTCATCGTATTTATCGCTGTTTATCCGTGACGTCATCGGTGTCAGCTGTGCGCAATTGTTATTTAATATCTTGGCGGTATTGTATGAAAGTGTAAACCGTCGTTATATTTATTTTCATCATTATTTTTTATCACTTTTATGATTAAGGCTTTAATGTTCATGTTAACGTTGTCGTTGTAAAGTGTACACCATTGTCGTATGATTGTGACGTCATCGATGTT